TGCCTCATTTCTTTATATTTTGTTAGGAAAATAGGACGTGCAGCAAACACATGGAAATACAGTATATAAGGCAAAGCCAGTCTGTACCTGTACTCTTGTACAATTAATACATTTTATATTTGGTATGAGCACCTTTATTCTTCAACTGAACTCTTAGGCAAGCTTCCTTCTCATTTCTTTAAGTAGTCTTCTAAGAATAGTTCTCCAGGCTTCTTGAAGGACATTCAAATCTCTTCCTTTTTTGTTCCATTCTGTCAAAAATCATCCCTCACTACACTAAAACTACACTACAAGAAAGTTTAGGTGTTTGGAAGCAAATTTTAAAAGGATGAGGGGTAGATCGAGACATTTGCACAGTGGTGTGCAATAACATTAAAAACGTGTCAAACAGAGCAACAAGCAACTAAAAAGGCAGGGGTACACAATAATCCTCTGTAATTGTAAAGTCATCATACATTCTGATGATGTATGAATCTTTGATAATAACAAATATATAAAAACTTGGCATTCAGTGGACAGAATTTTAGGTATTACAATTCTTTTCAGCTACACTACATATATATGTAATTTGGTCCTTTTATTGTGATTTTTGACAAAAGGATATAGATATGTGGTGATTTTTCCCCTTTACTCCTTATCATCCCTTGTTTAATAGCTGTACAGACGCTTGCTTATTGGTTTTTAATCATTAGATATGTAAGACCATATATGACGGCACTGAACTGAGAAATCTGAGCTGCTTTCCAGTTTCTGAAGAAAGTTTTTAATGAATATGTAATTATCATGAATTCTCATAACAGAACATGGCAATAATTAAACACCTAGAAAAGTATAAAATACCACATATTACTGATTCTTCCACTAATTTACCCTTCTGAATCTATTGTATTATGATGTGCTATGTTATCTTAATTTCCCTCCATTTGACCATTATTTTAATCAAGAGTTTAATAATATTGTTGACATCAAATGATCCAGTACTCAAGAAGTTAAGGCACTGGGCCTGCCAATACCTGACACAATATGTTTTTTTTTGGCTATGTGGCCTCAAGCACCAGGTATTGGCTGCAGCTTTTCCTTTTGAAATTAAATTTTACTTTGTAACTTTAAAGTCACAAAGTAAAAGTTTGCTTAAACTGTCCCTCGAAACGATTACAGTATAATAATCACTGCATAAAACCTAAGCTTCACATCTCTGCTCGCTTGTCAAAATTTGGAAGAGTATTTGCTATCTTGGAACCAAAGGTGACCCTAGTTGGACAGTAGAAACGCTATGTTTGCAGGTAAAGCTAGCTAGCTCGATTAGCATAGTGTATCCATAGATTGGATAACATACAAACAAAATTCTTGAATTTAGTTTAATAAACTGCAGCACAGACTTCGTGTGGGCAAGTTGCTAATTAAATAAAGCCATGCTCCGCCATCTGATTATTTATTTTCCACAAAATTTTCACAATAAAGGCTCGATATCCTTTTGAGACTTTTCAAAATAAAACAGGAAATAAATACAAATGGCGCTTGCAAATTGTGTCAGTGCAGCAACTGTTTCTCTGTGCTGACAGAGGGAGAGCATTTTTTGGTAAAGGTCATTATAAATACAATTTCAGAGACTACCTTTAACTTTTTATTGAAATCATTTTTCATGTTCGTATGTGTAAACATTACTGGGTTGCACACATCTCCTAGCCACAACACAGCCGCATTCAACATGTCTAAATCCGGAAGTGGCTCCTTCAGTCTTTTCTGGACAACACTGAACAGTTATGAACGGCTGATCTGAATAAACTGGCAGATGTGTCGAGTTCCTCTGTCATCAGGGTCATGTCTGTGGGCTTTTTATCAAAGGCAGCAACTGCTATAATGAATGGTTTATTGCTTATAAGGAGAGCATTTAATGTTACCAGTCTTTGACATTTTTTTAATCTTGATTTTAAGTGCTTTTCAAACTCTCTTAATCAACTAAATTCATCATGCTTCAGAAGAGAAGTGCCAAAAACACAAGCACAGGTCTTTGGTAAGCCATCTTTTTTCATGACCT